CAGCAAATCCAGGTAATTATAAAGATAATAGAGAGTAAAATAATTATTTACAGTGTGCAGGAATGTGTTTCATGTGCATGTAGTGTAAACAACCTGTAAGAACACATATCATCACACAAAGGTATAAAGCTGAGTGAGCAGGGAGGTCGATAAAACGAGATGAAAACTAGACAGAAGATGTGAATATCTTGTGCATTTTTTTATTCAATATTTAAAGGTTAACTTATTAAAAAGAAAAAACCCACTTTGCACTGAAACTCTGGCCGATATTAGAAGATGAGAATTCAGAGCAAGAATCACACCAACGGACTGAAATCAAATTAAAATGTTAATGTAACTTTCCTCAGACCACCTGAGTGGTCCTGATTAAAACTCTACGGTATCCATCACATCCAACAGAGGCAGCGGACACCAAATGGCCGCATGTGGAAATTGAAAGGGCCAATAATGGCCCCATATATTGCACCGGTATACATGTAGGTATCTGTGTAACCTCTCCTCGATACACCCTGGGAATTGTCCCAGTAACTCAGCGAGAGGTCATTTCTTCCCACACTGTCCCGGCCCGGTGTACTTTATCAGCTCTTCTCCTCATCCTCTTCTTCCCTCGTGAGCTCTAAAAACGAGACACTACACAGCTCTGGTTATCTGGAGGTCAAAGGAATGAAAGATGGAGCAGAGGAGGGGAAGGGAAATGACAGCGAGCGAGGGGGTAGAGACTGTATTCTCTCTCTCTGGTGTATGTAGACTTCCTCGTGTACAAGTGGGTGTTTTGCTGCATCGCTATACGGTGTTCAGACCACGAGGGCTTTTGAAAACCCCCTCACCGCCGTCGCACAGATGCTTTCTCTCTTTTTTTTTTTTGCTTTATTTTCCCCTTCATTACACCTCTGTTTCCTCTCCAATCATCTTGTCTCTTGAGCTGCTGCGAGATGTTGCTGAAAATGTAGCAACAAAGGAAACAAAGAAAATGATAAGGGAGGCGAAACAAGGTCATTTGCAGTTTACCTCTCAGTGGAGACGGCAGAGTGGAGGAGGAGGAGGAAGAGGAGATCAGAGAGGAGAAAGAAGAAAAGAGGTACAGGAGAGGAGAAGAGAAGATCAATAATCCTGCAAAGAGAAAAAAGAAAAAAAGCTGAGAATTCTCATCCTGACAGGAATCCTAAGATATTTCAGTTACATCTAAATTTTTCTTATCAGCATAAAGTCAGTGGTAACCAACCACAATCCTTCCCCGTAACAAGTGTTTCACATCCTCTTTATAAAGACTTCGGCTGTCATCTCAGGAAAGATTCGCATGCCTCCTTCTTCTTTTTTTTCCCTCTCATGCAAACCAGCCTCTCCATTCAGCCCCTCAATTCCCCTCCACCTCCGAGAAACCGGTTTTTCCAGGGGTCCTGGGGGGCCCTCAGCATTTTGACAGGCCTCTGATCTGGCAGGAAAAGACTCAATCATTGTAACAACACCCACTCCACCACCTCAAGCGCATCTTTTTTTTTTTTTCCTCCTTCTTTTCTCCCGTCTCTGTTTGAGATGTCGTCTCACTTTTCTTCTCTTTATGCACCACTTTGTTGGCTTTGTGTGGTGTTTTGGACATTGTTGCTCAGTGGCAGTCTGAGGATTTTGTTTTTTTTTTTTCTTACAGAGAATATATTGCCAGTATAAACCCATGACGCTCGTTATTCTTGTAAGGATTTTTTAAAAATGGCTGAACTTTTAATATATTGTTCTTCATGATGAGAGCACCTACAGAATCTTTCTTTTTTTTTAATTATTTTTTAGCATGCTTTCTTGTTTTTAAACAAGAATAAAGTAAAGGAAGCATTTTAATAATATATTTTTACATGTTGTTGACCAACGTAGCTGTAATTTATTTTGGTGTAAGAAAGACTGGCTCGTCCCAGAAGGTGCTAACGTGGAGGTACAAACATTTCTTTGATGTCCATTGTCCCCTTGAAGCGTTTTTTTCCAGTACACCAAAAGGTATTTTTTCCAGTCATAGAATCACACCTTCCTTTGTTGTACCTTTCCTATCCCTGAGTAATACTTCCCTAAATCACACAGATTCAGAGTACCTCCCTGCCAATCCCAGTCAGCCGGGCGGACGTGGGCTTCCTGGTATTCTAATGAGTTTATTTACAATGCTATGAATAGTATTCCCCAAGTGAGAACTACCTTTTCTTTCCCCCCCTGTCCTGTCCTTTCCTGCCTTGTTCTATTCCCATGTGGGCATGTCTTGGCACAGCAGGTGCCTTTGTCTAATCTGCAAGACAGGTGCAGCGTGTCCTTATAAAAACATGTTCCCTCGCAACCCAGTTTTAAATGCCACTCACAAACGGGGCAATAAACACACAAAATGCTCCGCTGTTTGATTAGCGTCGTGTCCCAGTTTGACCTGATGGGATGTGACCCGCTTTAATGTGTTCAGATTTAACAGCAGCTAAGGGAACCACATACACCAGCGTATGTGGTGGAATTAGACACCGATAACGTCGTCTTCAGCTTCTCCTTCCACTCTCCAGCTCCTATATTTCTTTCTTGCTCTCCACCCGTCGTCCTTCCACAGCCTCCCCTTTGGCAAACATCAATCAGAGCCAGTCAGAGCAGCGCCTGCAGCCTTTCCTTCACCCTCTGCTGTTGACTGACTGAGCATTCTGAAGCCCAACGCAGTGCCTTTAATTTGATTTGATCCAATTGAAACCATCAACTCTAATCAAATCTAATGTTGCATTCTGCTGCATGGTGCGCGTTCTGCAGGAAACGATAATGAAATTAGACAGAAACTGATGCTGCTTTTGTTGGTAATCTTGTTCCTGCATATGTTAAGTGTACTATGGGAATATGTTGTGTGACGATTTGATCCGCACGTATGCGAAGCCCGGAGGTATCGTGCTCATTGGCTGTATGTAACAGGCCTAGAAGAGCGTAGTCCTTGTGTGGGTATGTGTGTGCTGCATATGGCTCCAGTAGATAAAGAGGTTTTACGTTTTGCAGGGATCCAAAGTATGTACGTTAGAATCATCAGTTTATAAAATCATACATCCAATGCAAATAAACATAAACTAGTTTTTTCATGCTATAAGGTTAATTAACTCCACTCCTACTTTCTCTACCAAATTCAGTTCACTTTCACCGTATGTCAAAAAACACATGTTCATAGATTGGATGTAAACAGCATTTAATGTGAACGTGTTAATCATAGTTACACCCAAAGTCTGGGACGTCACGGCGTTCTCAAGCAGGAAGAACAAAGTCAGCGAAGGCATCAGTGAAGAGTTTTGCATATTTTTCATTAGCGTCTAGTGTAATCAGAGCACAAATGACAACAAATAGATGATGAAAAATTAGTTCATGCAATTTAGAGTGAAGCGCTGGCTGCTGAGCAGCTAATAGCGACAGTCGATGGCAGCAGCAATCAGCGATTAACGGTGTCAGTTGTGTAATCTGAAGAACATTAATAAAGGCTGACGGATGGATGGTGTGACAACGCACACTTGCCCATCTGTTTCTGGAAATGCTAAGTCTGCTAGCCACTCACACAAGACCTGCTCTTGATTTGGCGACACACAGATGAGTTTGCTACGCTGGTCGTTGGAAATAATCACGCAACACTGCTGCAAACGTTACTGATCCTTACTCGCATGGCATGACACGAGCCTCACCTCCACAGCGTCCACCTGTAGGCAGTCGGCCGCCCGGGGGGAGATATATTCTAATCAGTCTATATTCTCCTCTGGGCTGCCATGCTGTGTGCTCGAGGGGACAAGATCAGAGTCTGAACAGCAGCTCTCACCTGGGCACATACTCTATATTCATGTAGTTATGGCAATGTTTTCCTTCCATAGGTGGTGACTGGCCGCGGGGCAGATAGCAGCTATAGGGCAGTTATAATAGGTTTTCTGCTAATGATGGTGTTTCTGATTCATCTGTGTGTCTGAAATCATGATATACCCTCTTCTCTTATTTAATGAATGCACATGTTCCAGGTCATTATTTAGCATGCAGCTGTTCCTCTCTTGACTTCTCCTTCATGCCGTTGCTTTCTCTCAGGCCGGCCAACTTGTTGTTGGACAGGAGCAGCTCAGAAGTTCCCTCGATGGGGACGATGGGCGACTGGATGGACGGGATGAGGACCTTGCCCTGCAAGGAGGCCTTCTCCGGGGTCAGCTACAGCTCCTGTGACACCCTGGCCAAGACTTCCACAGAGTAAGACAACAACACACACACACATTAGGCTGCTCTGCCTATTCATGCCAGTAGCGTTTACAGGGCCCCAGCACCAGAGGCAAAGCCCAGGAATCTGAAGAGGCTCTCGGTGAAGAACAGACACACACATACTCTTGTTCTCAGTGAGTAATGGAAGCTATAGAGCCATTACTAAAGGTGTCCAGATGAGACTCATGGTAACTCATAATGACAGGTCTTTAGCCACGCTTTCAATGTTGCAAGTATGACCATAGGGGGAAGGTGAGAGCGTTAAAAGGAAGAGACGACAGAGAGAGAGAGAGGGAGCAGAAGAGTTGTGAGTTCCACCAAGGAGAGGGAATAAGAGAGAAGCTATTGAGGGAGAGAATGAGAGCGGAGATTTGACAAGATAAAAGAGCAGAGAGAGGGGCTTCTGAAAGAGAAAATGAAGGCATAGCTGTCAAGTAGGAGTGCAGATATATGACACTCGATGCTGCGAAGCATTAAAATGCAAAGACCAAGTGAGGAGTGCCAAAAAATGATCAGAATCTGGAAAGTCTAGTAAAATACAATTGGACAGCACACAGTGCAGGACCTCGTATGTTCTTTTTAAACGAGTAACACGTGTGTGGCACCTTAAGAATATCTGCTAAAGTAAGTGTGCAACAACAAAAACACTAAATGCATTAATTTACAGGGAGATGTGTTAAAGACACTACATTTATTATTTACATACAAAGTTCCATCACTATCTGTTTCCTACAACTTATGAGCATTTTCATGGTTTGCTTGAGGAAACTGTCTGTGAGACGGTGAGATTATACCAGAGACAGAGACTGTCGATCCATCTCCACTGACAAAAGCTTCTGAAATAGTGGATCAGCTCCTGGCCAGAGTCCTGCACCAGCAGATTGAAAGGAATTATAAATTCCAAGCACAGCGACGACAGACTCGGAGGTTACAGCGATGAAAAACCCGTCGTGTAGACGTACAGTTCAGGGTGCAGCTACTTGGGAGAATTAAGGCTGTCTCTTTTTACCACTTATTTTTTAATCTTGCTCTCGCTCCCTTTGGGTAGTTCCCCTTCTCCTGCTCTGCTGGCCTGCTGCTGCTTTAATTGATGTGGAATGTGACAGAGTAAATAATTGGACATTTCTAATCACTGTGATCAAAGCGGCCCTTCGCTGTGGCGGCGGCGGCGGCGGCATTCGGGGAGCGGTGGTCAGCGCTACGAGCAGCTGTAGGTCAATAACTTAACAAACCAGGCAGTCATTAACGGTGTGGGGGTTAGCATGCTAGAAAGAAGCACTTTGGTATTTACGTCCTCTTAAATAATCAAAGTTGTGGAGTTGATGCAACTGTTAGAAGAAAAGAAGAGTTTAAATCTTGACTAAGAGGAAGGAAACTCCTCTCAGTGGCAGCTTGAAATTGCAAAGACTTGTGACAGAAACATATTAGAACAAAAACAAAAATAGAAGAAGTAATGCTTTTCTGAACTATACGCTCAGTTATATAAACTATACATAGATATTATATATGTAAAAAGGCTTTTCATGATGGTTTCTCTCTGTCTTCTCATAGGGTTACTACACTGAACCTATTTCTCTCTTCTCCCGACATTCGTCACCGCCATCTAATCCATAAATGCGTTTAATCAATGAAACACTCTTTTCGGTTAATATGTTAGAAAATAAAAGAGCCTCCACTGAACATCGGCCGCTGACAGAATCCATCACGGATGAACTACACTCCAGCAACCTCGCGCTGAAATAATCATATCGCTCTACAATACCTTTTCTCTGGCTGGATGCTAAATTGGATCACTGCAGTATTAATCCAGTGAAGGCTCCGTCTAAAGCACCCGAGCTCAGCTACGAGGCTAGCAGCCTTGGCTCACACCATGCATTGCTCAGTATAGATTGCTCTATTGATTCGTACAGTCTTAATCTAGTCCTTGATATTCAGCACAAGGCTTGGCAAGGCTCTGACCTCCGAGGAACAGTTATCATACTTTGCTGCAGTGTGCTGACTCACCTGCCGGAGTAATTGATTAATCCGTTTTTGAGGATGGGACGGAGCGACGAGCAAATACTGCATCATTTTGGACTGTTTTACATCCGAACCGAGCGCAGGCGAAATTCATTCCAGGTATTTTATGGAGTAAGTGATGAAATCGACCTAAAAACTGCTGGAATTATTTGTAAGAGTTTCTTGCACAGTGAATTACACAAGAAGATCATATATATTCATGATCAGTCCGGTGGCTTTGCATCGCTGTGCAATCAGGGCAGATCTGTCAGCCTTCCCCTGTTTGGAAAAAAAAACCTTGTTCCTGACGTGACCGGCTTTCTTTCAGCGGCCGTTTTTTATGTGTTCAGTTTAACTAAATTGCAGAAAAAACAGCCGAGGTTTTGTTCTCGGATGACGGCAGTTGTTGAGTCAACAGTGCTGTGATGTACTACTGAAAGAAACTTTCAGCTGTTTCTCATGTGACGGTGTGTGTATGTGTGTAATCCCATATGTTGAACTTGTTTATTGTGTTCAGATTTTATCGCTGTCTGCTCTTGAAATGATCCATGTGTTTTCCTGTAATTATATAAAAAAACAACCCAAAAGAAGGATCAATAGCTCGTCAGCAGGAGCCGCACAAATGTAATTTTAAAAGTGTGTCCTATCTGAGTGAATGTGGAAGTTCAAATCAACAAGAGGAAAGGGGACTTAAATAGAAAAGCTAAATGACGTTAGCCACGGTGAGTCTGAGGGACAGCTGCAGGGGGAAAGGAGAGACGAGCGGAGAGGAAACGTGACCACAGATAAATAAAGAGATGTGGCGATGTCGCAGGTAAAAGTGAGGAAGTGAGGAAGAGAGTCTGTGACAGAGGGAGAGGCAGCATGTGGACGTGGGAGACAGATCTGAGTTACGGCGACAATAACAACAGCTGGGAGATCAGTGGAGCTTCTCTTCTCCAGGTTCCAAACTCGTCAGGATTATAAAGAACATCCCTTCTTGTTTAGCGACATTCATACATCAAACTGAGTTATCGTTCATTTATCTGTTGAATTATCTGACAATGTTGTTTAGTTAGATTATAGCTAAGATTTTGTTTTTGCTAAATGGCTCCACTAGCGACCAGTAAATGTAGGATTCATAGGATCTGCCTTCAGAGATGTTTACCGTCGTACAGGTGAAGCCAGATGATTCAGTTTGATTAATTTCATCAGAATGTGTGTTAAACAGCATCAGGACGTAGCAGCTATTGATGCCACTCTGTGCTAACGTTGCCGGGCCTGGCTGTGTCTCAGTAGAGTGGTTCTGACGGAGGTCCACGTCACACCGGCCACTTGTCCAGAATGGGAGCCGTCCATGGGGATCACCACTCTCTAACGCCCAGCTCCTCTCCACCTTCCTCAGGCTCTGGATGGTGGGTGGAGGACCAAGACCCAGGCCAGGCCTGAGACCAATAACCCGCCTCTAGAACCACTGACGGGCTTCACACGTCTGACCTTTAAAGGGATAGTTAAATTACACTTAGTGGTAACTCAAGAGCTGCGCTTCCATCCCGCTATCAGCTGGAATAAGGAATAAAATGAACAGAGTGGTGCTCACAGATACTGATGGTAATGCTGGTCCATTTTACCTCTAGACTTTGCAATAAGGGATAAAAAAAAATGTGTTAGAAACAAATAAGACACACAAATCAATGGCGTAGTAATTGTTGCGTCATTCAAGTATTTCTTAAATAGCTTTTAATTCAGGACTATACAGCAGATAATGATTATTTACAGAAGAACCAGCTTAGAAGTATTATATTAGCTATCACTAGCAAGCCTCAAGGCAAGAGAAGAAACTGTAACTCACTAGTTTTATAAAGCATATTTATTATTTACATATTTCTGAAATGTCTCACTGTTTACCAGCATACTATATGTATATACACTCACTTTATGATCTCATTTATTATATTAGAATTTACCTTAGCCAATCAAATTATGGAGGTTTATCAAAAATATTAAAGTGCATCAAACTGCAAATTTTCACTTAAGCATCGACGGTTAATTTGACATAATTTGCTTTAAAATATACGGGATGGAAACACAGCTTTAGCTCTCTGTGGCGTACTGGTACTGCTGTTTGCTCTAACAAGAGAGAGACAGGAAGTTCCTTTAGTTTGTTTATTGTACGCTCTCATAAAACATATCATAAAGTGTGACGTTAACTATCCCTTTATCGTGCAGCTCAGCGTCTAGTTTCACTCGCTGCCCGTCTCCCGGCGGTCGAAATGTTTCTGCTGTTTTTGGCTGCAAACTAAATGTTCTGCTTGCATCTGACAAAACACAACGTTAGCTGTTCTAATTATCAAACGAGTAGCGCTAAAAATTAACGGCTGTTTGTCGTAGTAACGCCACGAGTCCGCCTGCAACTCCACCGCTTCTACTAATACGGCGCCTCGTGTAGGAGCAACGGATGAGTCCTAACCTGTGCTGTGACCTTCTGTGTGATATTGACGGTGCTTTGTGTGTTTTGCTGTGTTCACTACATGTTGTTGGATATGTTTCACAAACGGTCCAATACTCGTCTCCAGCTGACTAACTTCTTTGTGTATTCCAGGTTTACACGCCTAACAAGTTCACCTTAAAATATGTCTTCTAAGCGAGTGTCCTTCTCTTGAATGCATGTCCAGTAACCAGTCCTCTTTTAAGAGTATTAACATTTTATGGATCAGTGTGACTGTATGTAATAAACAAACATCCTCCAGTGCTGCTCCTCTTCACGCCGACCCCCATCAAAGCAACCCGATGCAGGAAACCGGCTCTTTTCTGCCACCGTGGCCCTTGCCCACCATTGTTTCTTCCCCCTGACAGGGTCGTAATAGCAGCTGTCAGTGTGGCCTTCTGGGAAATGCAGTCCTTTGTGAATGACAGCTGCACAGGAAGGGAGCAGCACTGGGAGCATGTCATGAATGTCACATGGGTGTCACGTTCGCTAACGCACACTTTCCTTTTTTTTTTTTTTTTTTTTTTCCCTCTTTTTCTCTGTGTGTTTTTGTGTCCTTTTTTTTTTCCCTCTCTCCCCTTTTTTTTTTTCTCTTTCTCTCCCCTCCTCTCTCCTTCACAAACCAGGGATCTGAAAAAGGTTGGAGTGACTATCGTAGGACCGCAGAAGAAGATAGTAAGCAGCCTGAAAGCCCTAGATTCCCACACCAAGAACGGTCCAGTACCTGTTTAAAAAAAAAAAAGAAAATAGAAAAAAAAAAAAATGAACCCGACAAACGAGAACCACCAGAGACCTGTCTGTTGGTCTGCGTTGACAGACTTCGGTTGCTAATCGCACTCTAACACAGCGGCTGCGTGTCCAAACTGGAAACGGAGGAAGTAAAAAAATAAAAATCTGATTCAAATGATGTCGTGTTGCTGAAAGACGGTCCTGACAGGAAGACGGGAAAGAGTCGGACCTGCCAGCTAGTTAACCGGCTGACTCGACCCTCCGTCCCTCCACGCCCACGTTGAGATGCCTTACAGACTTATCGGGGGGTAGAGAGCCAAGGAGGTCAGAGAGACGTGATGGGGATGCGAACTAGGACTGTACTGGGATATACAGGGCAAGGACTGGACTACCACGAAGCTGGAGCTCTCCCTGATTGTGGCCCGGCCTCACCGAGCCTGACTAGCAGCCTGTGGGATGAGGCTGAGATGCCTTGCGTGGACGAGCGCGGTGGACGGCGGCGACCGACCCGGACGGAGACGCCCGCCTGCCGAACTGACGAAGTCTTGAAGTGTGAGATTTTTGTTGCAACTACCTACATTTACCGTCTCCGCGAGAGAGCCGAGCTGGACACACCTAGACGCTAACCGAGCCATTTTACTCCGTAGCTCTAACCCTATAGCATTTGCATTCAGTAGACATGTCACATAAAAGCAATAATAATATAATCAGTCAAATAGTCTCATTGTATGGAAGAAGCTGTGAGTCTGTCACGTGTATAATGCATCGAATGCTTCGAGGGTACAGGGGCCATAACACACTTCACACACACACAGGAGTTTTCTTTACAACTATGTTCTATGTGCTTATGAGCAGATCTTGTACAGTTGTAGTGCTGTGACCCAATGCCCTTTGTGTAAAATCTCAGGATGTATACTTTGTTCTGTTTTCTCTAACGAAAGGGAAGCTGAGAGAATGGAGCACAGTCTGGAAGTGAGGTCAAGAAAGAAAAAAAGGGAAAGAGTATAAGAGCAGAACTGAAGCGATGTCAGTCCTCTGCTTCAGTGTGTTACAGAGAACTGGGAGTTTATACTTGAGTTTCTTCTTTATGGAAGCATCATGAACCCCTCACAGCGCCAGGTGTCATTTTCTTTCTGAAGAATGGGATTTTTTTGTTTTGCCTTTGTGAGATCAGCTCAACGCTGCTGATGTGAGGTTGCTGTAGCCCCTTTGCTTAGAGTTAAATCCATTAACAGAAGCCATGTGGGATCAGTCGTTTTCTACTTTGATTGGAAATTTGGTGTAAAAAAAAAAACAAGTTTGTTATGGTTTTGAACCCACGCATCCTGGTGTGTTTAATGCAAAAAGCAGAGTGCCTCCTGTAGTCGGGCTGGATCAGCGAGCAAACGGCTCGATTTGATGTCAACGGCATCTTTCTCTTCCTCGTTCTTGTTGGGGTGTAGGGTGGATCAACAAGTAACCAGGTATTAAAAAAAAATGCCCCGAAAGAGATGCAACAGGTTTAATAGATGATTGCTTTCTGAGGTAGTATCCTACATCATGTTCCCAGGATGGGATTTCCTAAAGGCACCTTCGAAGATCTTTGTACGATGAAGGACTTCCTTAAAGATGCTGGTCTCCTGCTTCGATGTGCCCCAGCCAATCCAACCCGGTAGTTTTTTTCTGAACTGGCACTTTGGTCGTTTGTGCTATTGGATGGGTAATATTTAACCACGAGGATGCTATCTTTAAGCCTCTTCAAGCACTTAGTACACAGTATTGGAGCACTTTGAATGGAAATGTTATTGCCTTGGCTGAAGCTGATGTAAAAGGACAGGGGGGCGGCGGTTCTGGTGCTTTTGGGAAATCCGGCCCTGTTCAGCGTGTCGGTCCTGTCTTCTGTTACTCGGTCTACCTGTGGATGCTGCTGTTGCTGCTACGTGTTCTAATTAGCGTGTACATAATGTAAACCATCTTACTGATAGCAACTAGCACTACAGATCCCACTATATGTACATGGCCATCCCCTTTTTTTGTACAGATGTTTGTATGTATAAAAGACTGAATAAAAAAAATTGTGCAACATTTTTAATTAAAAAAAAGAGACAAAATCACCTGTATTATATTATTTTGAATTATATTTGTCAGCTTTGTTTTTTTTTTTTCTACAATAAAAAGACAATTATGATTACATTATTTATTTGTTAACATTATACAGCGCATTGTTGACTTTTTTTTTTTCTTTTTTGTGGGGGAGCTTAGAGTAAATTATGTGTCAGTGCTGTCTGTGTTTTCAATTTACTTTATAAACCTGAGACATCTGAGAGAGCAATACTGTTATGAACCCCATATCCAGATCCCTAATTTTATGTCTCGAGACTGATCCGTGTGTCTGTGTGAGAGTTTATGTGTGCAAATGTAGATGGCCTTGTCTACTAATGTAAAATGATTTGTAGTGGAAACATTTATATTTTTATAATAAATATTCGCAAAATATTTTCCAAAAAATGGATGATGATAGACCTGCTCCTGTGTTTTTTTTATTTTATTTTATCGATGTGACGACGTCGGAGGCCGAGAAACATAACGTTGGCTTTTCTTTAAACTGTGAACAAATAATGTTTAATAGATCGCAGGTGGAGGTTGTACATCTGAAGCATAGGTCAGGTGTCTTTTTTTATTTTATTTTATTTTTTTTTTTACATTCCATTGATGTTCTTTCAGAATAAAAGCCGACATGTTTAATGCACAGTCCATAGAAGGGTCATTCATAGTCAAATAAATAAATAAAGGCCTTCAACCATCAACATCTACACTGTAGAAATCTGCCAATACATCTAGAGTGAAAGTTAAATTTAGAAATATGTATGATTTTAATGTATAAAGGTGTTTTTTTTATTATTGTGAGCTATTTTTGTGAAGCTAATTTGTAGAAAAATCTAAATATAAATTACATTACTACATTAAAACAGCATTTAAAGCAAAGTAAAAATAATTACAATTCTTTAAAAAAAAATAACATCATTAAGTCAAAGTAAAATCTATTTTTAATTAACTTTTTTTTAATAAAGTGATGCCAATTTATTGGGAAGCTCCACCTCTCCACCGAGTTTGTTTTATTATGAAGTTCAGCTTGGCAGATTAGTTTTATTTATTTATTTTTTTTCTCCTGTGGACAGAGAGCAAACAAACAAACACCACTGAAAATATATCTCCATCTTGAGTTTCATCTTTATGGAGAAAACGGGATGAACAAAAGTTATCATATTTAACTGGCTTGTTAGTGGAAGCGGCAGCAGCAGTGTGATTGAATGTTCATCGTCATGTACACAACGTAAGCAGCTTCCTTGAATTGCAGCGTTTCAATCAGCTGGATGTGATTAAGCACCACAACAGGCAGATTTCATAGAAAGAATCCAGGCTTCAATAAAAAGACGTAATTAAAGTCCAACTTTAAAACAATTTACTATCTCGTATAAATAAATTGCAGCCACAAATGGGAAATTAAATCTCAATTTTATACACTAATGGCTAAATTACTTTTTTTTTTTTTTAAATATTGGCTGACCGGAGCTTCTGAGCTGCTTTTCCCAGAGAGCTCGAGAATAAATGTGTGTGCATGTGAGTATAATAAAACGAGTAGGTTCCCAGTGTCCCCCTTCCCATTAAATTATCTAATTAATCATTTCAGATCGCTACAGATAGCTGCAAAGCACACTCTTAGTATTGAACTTTTTAAAACAAGTCATCGGCTCTGATCAGGGGTTGAGTAGAGTCGTCTAGTTTTACAGACGCCACCTATTCCTCCACCTGTCTACGCTGGACCCGCATCTCTTTGTCCACAATCCTCTCACATCTGCGAACCAGCTTCCAGCGCAGCCACCCCTGCCTCTGTTTCTAATCCTTCCCGCCCCGCACCTTGTTTCCACGGCCACATCTAATAAAGCGTTTTGTTTCCGATCATCCACGGTTAGAGTTGATTTGTTGTATGACTTTAATGTGGAAGATCTGCGTTTTCTCATATCTTCTTTTCTTTTCTTTCTTTCTTTTTTTTTTATTTCTGCTGACTGGGAGGAGATGAGATGTGTCAGAGAGGGGAAAGAGTGATGGTCGCTCTGCACAATCTTGAAAGGCTGACACTATCCAGATGTTCCCGAGCAGATGTGCGCGGAGACAAAACAGGACATTGCCCTACTCGAGTCAGGAAACAATGAACACAGTATGCTTGACAACGCCACCAATTCCGCCTCGTTTTTTTTTTTTTTTATCTATAAAACCTCTGTGGTACCGAGAGCGCCGGGGTGATGGGAAAAACAGAGCCGGGGCGGACGTGGGGGGAGGTAGAGAGAGCGAAAGTGGAGGGATGATGAAGTCGTATGACGCCACGGAGAGGAGGATGGAAGGCAGGTGATGCTCGTGGCAGTTCTGCCCAAGTAGATAAGAACTTGTGGAGCGGTGGCATGCTATAAGGCAGTAATGCAGGAGGAGATCAGACAGCAGCATTCATCATCCTGCTCGGCGGCACGCTGTTGAAATGCACTCGTCTGCTGCAGGACGCATGGTTCCACCTGGAGAGTAATGACAAAAAAACAAAGTGTGTAAGATTAATTTCCTGTTTGCAACCATCAAATATGCCGATCTGCATTTGGTCTGTTTTCTAGATTTTTTACCAAACATCGTTGTTCCTATATGGACTCACAGAACCATCGCTGACGGTGTCGCCAATGTGGATTTTCCAAATTGGGTTTTATTTATGCGAGAAATGCCTCCTCTTCATGTTCCAAACCGTCTCCTTAAGCCCTGATTTCCATACGTCCATGCTAAAGGAAAAGTAGCTGAAATGACACAATCACAACTTCACTTAATCTGCAAACATTTTCTGCTGAATTGAAGCCGGAGTTTTTAATTGGCCGTCAACCAAGTTTCCGTCACGGCCGTGCGTCCATGTTATACATTTTAATTTTGGAATGCGAGTGTGGTCAGTTCGTTTGGCTGAATGCATCCTG